GGGGGGGGGGGGGGGGGGGGGGGGGGTAATTACAGTTGTCTTTGATTATGTTGCTTTACCGTATATGAACCCAAAATCCCCAAATGATGTTTTTCCCCAACCACCATGGAGAAACACAGATGTCTGTTGTTTTTGCCTAAATATATCCTCTTCTGGTTCCTAAAGAAAAATAAATTTAAGAAATATTTCAGGCCCCAGTGTTTATGTTAACTGGGGTTTATTATTTTTATATTATCAGTGTCATATCCCTGGATGCTATGAATAGTTTGACTATAGTACAAATAAGAAAGACAATGTGCAGCTTAGACTGATGACCAAACTCTATGCATGAGGAGCCATGTGTGTGTTAAAAAAGACCTGAGAATGAGCTTGTAATTTAAGCAACGACATGGACTTAACTCTGGTGCCATCTACTGGACAAACTTAACATTTTAACCACACTAATGTTAAAAGAACAAGACATGTTTTAACCTTGCATTCAAGTGTGTATTGTGCAATATGAGCTGTTTCCATTAGCAAGAGTTTTTAGTCTAGTTTAAAGGGTATTATGTTTTTTTTTTATGTCTCTTTCTGTTGAATTTCGACCACAGAGAAATGTCTTCTGCCACAATATTCTCACACTGAGCTAAAGTTTAGGCTGTGGGGAATCACCTATAGTGTGTGTAGCTCGTTAAGCAAGTGTAGCTGAGCAGAGCGTGAAGCATCAGTCACAAACCGTGTTACTAATCAACCTTGTTAATCACCATGAATAGCCACTTTCCCGAGAAGCTTCGCTGGATTGTCAGGCCGCCTTCACTGTCAGCAGAATTGAGCATTGTCTGAAATGCTACACTGCCTCCAAACCTGCTGATAAGTTCCTCTTCATTACTCATTTATTTAGAGCCTGTTGCTTGATGTAGTTTGGATCGGTTACATCTGACGAGTCAACCCTTGCTCACAAGTGCCACCCATGTGGAATCTTTTGACCTCTCCGAAGCATGTGACAGGTCGAAATGGAAGTGACTCACGACGCCACTGAAAAGAAATGTGAAGGTGGTGGAAACAGTCAGGACAACTTTAACCTTCACTGAATCTGAGCTGTTTATATGTGTAAGAAGGAAAAGGACAAAAAGTCAGCCTTGTACTCTGTTTGGATATGTGCCATGCCCACACATACACATACCTGTAACCACACTAGTATGATACAACACAAGTTAACATCATATCAGGTGAGTCACATACATCTATAGCTTATTAAGGAAGCGCTATATGCTCACTCATACACACACACCCATGCAGACAAAGCATATTTCTTTAATCAGCCAGAGTATCCTGGATAAATGACAACTTGGCTCATGCTACACTTTCTTTTGTGCATCACTCTGGGAGTTTATTTAAATATGATATGAATGACATCCATGTGTCATGATATATGTAGGCCAGTCCTCGCAGTTTGAGTTCTTTGGTACCACTTTACAATAAGACTACCCTTATAATGGATTCATAAATTGTTTATAATTAGGTTATCAGTTTCGGTTGTTAACACGTTATAAATCAAAATTAAACAATTATAAACAAGTAATAGCACAGTTTTCATACATTGATGGTTCACTATTTGGCAAGATCAAGTTAATGCTTACTACTCGTTAATCTTTCTAATGACACTTTACAATAACGCTCCCTTTTGTGGCTGCTGATAGCATGTCAAGGTAAACAATATGAAACAGTATGAATCTTGTCATTTGATACAATAATTTGATATAATAATAATAATACCTATGTCATAATTTATATATGTCATAATTTGATCTGGCAAGTGAAAATTTCTGACCATACTGACGGTGGTTAATTGCTAGTAACTTAACAACTTAACTTAATATGTGGTTAAGCAGCAGGTACAAATGCTGGATGATGGAGAAAACAAAGAAAGCTCCGTAGCTATTGTGATATGAAGCTTAACAGTACAGATAAATGTGGGCTCACTATTTGGCAAGCAACACGTTGCTGTTGCCCTTTTTATCTAATGTGATACAAAAGCTTATAAATGATTTATAATTGATAAACTAGTTGTAAACCATTCATAAATTCTTTATAAGGGCAGTCTTATTGTAAAGTGGTACCTGTTTTTTTTCAGCTGTAGTAGAGATATCACTCCTTATACCCACATCATATAACAGGAGGTTTGTCAGACTTCCAGTTCCCGAGTATTAACTGTTATGCTTTTCTTTGAGGATCAGATATATTGATATCCAGTGGTAATATTCTAAATACAGCAGTCAGGACATTAAGAGAAATGAATGTGTTACATAGAACAGAGAGAGAGTCCAAAAACCAGACATGAACCAGTGAAGCACAGGAACAAACAGAAGAGAAACCACATGTTACATTAAAGAATACAGTTGCCATACCTTACATCCCTAAATAAAGTTTCCACACTCGTTAGTATAATGTGTCATTGGATGTATAATTTAAACCTGCCAAATCCTTATAAGCTTATTCTTGTGATATGCGCTATGAGCTGTGTTTGTAAAGGTTTATTGAAATTGTTGAGGTTACATGAGACGCAGCTGCATGGAGATGCATGTCCTCACACGGAGAAAAACTTGGAAAAAGCATATAGCTGTTTTATTAGTTTCATATCATATTCTCTTGGTACTGTGGGTTAGATCAAGCTGCCAGTTCAGGAGCGTGAACACCCAGCCTCAAGCACTTATCCTCGATAACTATCATTTATATACAACGAGGTTGAACAAGAACTTTGAAAATGAATCATACGCAGCAGATACACAGTAGTTCCATGCAATCATATTCTCATGAGATTAGAGCTGTAATTTTGACTATGTACATAAATGCTGCCTGATTTGTTGACAGTGCTCTAACTTTTGACAGACCAGACAAAGTGCAAGAACTTTCCCAGAAGGCTTAGCCGATCTTCTGTATTGTGATGCATATTTAATTACTACTGCCACGGTACAACAGAGTTAGCCTAAATGTTGTTTTCTGTCGTGTGTGAGGTATTCAGGATTGTAATTATCCGTCACTGTCGTCTCAAGCAACAATGTGCATTTTGTTTTTCTGCAGCATGAGAAGTTTTCCTCTTCACATTCTCATGGCCGTGTTGTGTATATTCCAGCTGCCGTTTACAACTGCATGGACAACAAGGCACAACAGCTGGACATATTTCATTTATCGTAAACAGTGAACTTCCATAATGCTGTGGTTGGCGTGTCAAATACAGAGTGTATCTATAAACACCCTCTAACTTTATTTACTGCAAAATAATTACTAATATAACCTCACAGAATTATATCATATGTGATTTTCTCTAGTAATGTCAGACACATAAACTTGACACTTTGATGGCAAGCATAATCCATGTTTAAATTCTTACTGAAAAGCTTTGTCAAAATAATGTGTGAAGTGGATTAAAGGCTTATGAATGAAGTGTGATATGCAGGAGCAATAACCTTTCATGGAGACGCCTCCTAGTGGTAAGATGAGCAGAGTCTTTTCTCTCCCTTTCTCTCTCTCTCTCTCTCTTATTTCCGAGGGTCTCTCTGTCAAACGAGATCTCCCATACTACAAGGTTACCCACACAACTCTGCTTGCAGTTGTTTGTGCTTTTCAACCTGCAACATGAGACCATTTGTCATTGACAATGTCAGACCTTTAAGGTTTGTTTAAGAGCCTGTAGATGGCGTCACTGCCCCTGTTCAGGTTACACTGGCTAATGAATATACTGCATGTGGAAATACCGGTTTAAACACTTAATGAGGGGAAAGTAATGATCAGCAGTGTGATGACTTTTTGGGTCTGGTATGTATGAATTTGGTGCAAGATATGTTTGATGTGAACTTTGTGTTATTGTGCAGTGGATTTTACAAAATTTTGTGCAGAACTCAAACCATCTAATGACATTAGTTTGTTCATTTTTAATGGTTAACATCAACTATTTTTAATGTAAAATAACACTCAGTTCACATTTTCCCTTCATCTTCTCCTTTCTTTCTTCTTTATCCTCACCCCTGATGTCCCAAGATCTTCAACTTGTCAGAACATTCAGGTTATTTCCCCACTTCTTCAAACCTTGACCAACTCTGTAATTTCAAGGACAAAAGTTTTGGAAACTTTTTTAATGTTGCATATCATTTTTTTTTTTTTGTTAGACAAGATAGGACATGCAAATAGGTAACCGAAGCACACGACGGGTTCTCATGCTCAGGCGTATATTAGCCCAACCCTTACTTCCCCGCTTCCCTCCCTCCTATCCCTTGCCAAACAGGATCTGTAGGATCTTACAGAGTCATTTTCTCAGGAGACAGGAATGTCAGAACACAAGGCCTGGTGCCTGCTGGAACATGCACCCTCACATTCCCTCAAACTTACAGGAAAAAGTCCCAAATGTATTGCTCATATATTCATTTCCACTCAGTGTGTGGTAACAGTTTTGTGTAAAATGCTGTGTGTGCGCCGGACGTGTTGCAGACACATACTGACTCACTACTGAAATCAGGTTGTCTGGTGAACCACCCTGTCCAGTTTTTACAAGGTGTACGTGAGGCTGCGACCTTGAAGTTTAAAGGGAGTTTTATTCATTTTGTGACATCCTCAGTTTCATTTTCTGAATAAATTCTGACAAAAATAAGAGTTTTCACTTGTTATCCAAATGTTTTTTTTTGACAGACTTCTCAGATGACACTATAATATGCTTTTACAAATGACACAAACAAAAAATTATTAAAGGATCTTTGAGATTTTTTATTTTTTTGAAAGTCTTTTCAAAAGTTGTTTTGTGTACAGCTCATAAGCATAATGTTACACAGCAGATAGGCTAGTCATTTAGACTATAAGGACCCCAGGTCTATCAGAATATAAATATAATACAGTGAAATTGTGGCACTCAGGCTGCATTGAACAAATGACACAAAATCAAAGAAATGTAAAGGATTACTTGGCTGATTTTTCAATCATCCCACATCACCATCTACAGTATCTCAGGAATTCAGAGGCTATCGACAAGCAGAGGATAAAAATGTAACAAAACAAGGATTCATGCTACATTTGTCTGCATCAATGTGTCTTGAGTTCGGACACGCAGAGGTCCAAAGTGACAGCTCTCCTGCATCTGTTAGCTTGCCCTCTCAACACTAGCACTGGCATTTGCATCGCTCAGCAAGCAGAGCATCACGCAGTGAAATGTCAAACGTCCAGTTTCCTCTCGTATCAGAGGTCATTTCTGCTTTAATTGACGGACCAGCGGCTGCAAGTCGGCGATGAGCTGGTGGACTCTTTGTGGGACTGATTTGGGCTGTGGCTGTGGGTGGGAGAGTGAGTAACGCTTGGACTGCTGGGAGGTGTGGAGGAACAGGAGGAAGACTTGGATTTAATCTGCAGCCACTTGTCTCCCAAAGCCTTGGCAAAGTGGTCATCGACGGACACGCTGATGGAGAGCTGCTGGGAGTGAGCTTTCTGGTAGTTCACCCCGAGGCTCCTCTGGAAGTGCTCTTCAACCACGTGGTCGTAGTTGCATTTGGAAACCACTGGGAAAGAAAGGATGATTGAAAAGCGTCAAACACACACCTCAGTGAGTCAGTACAAGTGAGCGGATATCCAAATTATGATGCATATGTGAAATCTTAGGGAGTGACCGTCTGGCGGATGAGCTCACTCATGAATATGACTGACCTGATGAGTGGCTTCTGTGGACCTCAGATCTGCAGGTGGGGTTTCTTACTGAGGACACGCAAGTGATCACAGAGGGGCGCATCTAAAAAGCAAACAAAAAAAGAGATGGGTTATTAATTAGATCAGAGGAAAAACACAATTCAACACAGAAAACACTTACCCTGCTTTTTCTTTCCTCTTCATCCCACAAAATTTTATTAATATTTTAATATTGCCTAAACCTGCCTGTGCACCTAGTCCCATTACAGGTTAAACAGTGTTCTGTTTGGTTTAGTTTGAAAAAGAAATGATTTCAAAACCGATTAAACTGGTTGGGTTTGCACATAAGAGTCAGATCACTCCCAGTGTGTGTGGCATAAACAGGTCAAAGAGAGAGCAGTCTGTTTGGTCTTGTTGATGGAATTCCTCCCTCCATTGCTCACATTTTCTTCCTCAATCCGGCTGGATTGCATAGCTCGGACAAGCTTAGGCCTGCATGCACTCCACTTGGAAGTGGAATGACTGTGGAGATGCATTCACAGACTACAGATGGGAGATGTACCACTGCTGTGGGTAGCCTGGAGCTACACTGACACTACAAAGGGACATACAGTACTGCCACTATTCAGAAGTTAATGCAACCCAAACGCCCCCGAGCTTTGAGAAAACCACACTCAACATGATGAGGACACGAGCAGCATGGTGAACTACCTGGATTTGAGTGGTGGCGTTGTCTTTGGACTTCTCCTCTGTGTTTTCAGGGTCCTTTCTTGCTTTCTTGATGAGGGCAAGTGGTTCATCCATGACTGGTGTGTAGTACACATGGGTGGGCAGAGGGCTGGTGGGGCTGGGTGTTGGACTCCAGGTGGATGTGGGGCTCTGCGGGCTGTTGAACACAGCTGGTGCTGGTGCTGTTCTCTGGGCCTCCTTACCACTGCTCCTGCTCAGCGCTCGCTCTCGCCTGAAACAGTTGTTCATAAGAAAATGTCACATCTCTCTGACAGAATTTGTATTTCATTGATCACATTTTTTTTAGTAGGCTATTGGAATATTATTATTAGAAGTGCGAGGAAAGCAGTTTCACCAACCTTTCCTCCAGTGTCAGACCTCTGTCATTGCTGCGCTTGCGCTTGACTGGATACACTGTTGGGGCTCTGACCCGGTCATTTGTGATGTGTCTGTATCTGTCTTCACTTCTGAGGTGGGGCTGACCTGATGAACAGAATTAAAGTGCAGAATTATATTAAGATGCTGTCAAAAAATGCAATCATACATTTTGGGCATGGCTTATTCACTAGAACAAATAAATCCAGTAAAAGAATTAAGCCTTTACTGGCACTGATGATTTTACTCCTACCTCCACTTTTACCATTGATAATTGTGTGTGACACTCAGGTGATGAGTAACTGCTTGTTTTGATCCATGACATCAACCTGCATGACTACTATTCGTGGGAAAACTTTTTTTAAATTTTATTGTCACCGTTAATTGTAAACTCCGTTAAGCTGTAGAACTTGATCTACCTGATCAGTGAGGGTTACCAAAGTACGCAGCTGATTCAGTGCTAACGGTAAATGTTGTTTTTCTGCATAATGTTGGCATTCAGCCCTGTCACACACTCTCAAGGGCACAATCAACACGTTTTGTTATCATGGGGTGCCAGAATGGTTACTGAGGACCCTGATATGGGTGGCACCCATTTGTGAAAGGGCCATCCAGCTGCACACACACAGACACACACAGACATTGGATTTTTCCAATTACACAAGTTGAAACACATCAAAGTGAAGCTGGTGATGTCACCGATGTGCTGAATAAGAGGAGTGCACAACTTGTGAGGTTGAACTCACAAAATGATTTGGAGATCACAGTGTTGTTTTTTTTCATATATGCAGGTTTATGTCTCTCACTAACATTTTCAATCAAAGCAACAGGAGTATAACTCAGCCAAACCAGTTGGCGCTCCTGTCTCACATCAACACGCTCACATGTTCAAAACAGTCATGCATACAGTCAAAACACAGAGCATTGTTTGAAAATGTGATGGCAGCATAATTACACCCGGCCCATTGTTTGACAGTATGCTCAGTTAACATTTGAAAGTCCTCACTGATGGGGAGCCCTTTCAACTATATTAAAATCAGTGCTCGAAAAATCACCCACTCACAACGTCTTCCACTTTACTGAACTGAAACAATGGGTGATTAACTGCTCTGAAGTGTAAACCCCCCCCCCCCAAAAAAAAAGATGTTTTGTTCACAGTGTCTTCACGTTGAAACTGCTCGCTCCAATACACATTTTCATTTGGCTAAACACTCCAACACCTGTGAGCTATTCCTTCACGCACTGAGTGCCACTGAGAGGGAGAGAGGGGGCGGGGTGAGGAGGGGGGGGGGGGCAGGTATAACCACACCTATGCTGATTTTCTAATGCCTCGGGCATAGATATTTCTTCCTTATTAGCAGAGGGAATATGTCGCCTGACCTTCTGCTGTGCTGAACTTCAATCAGATTTTTATTGAAAATCCAAGAGAAGCGCAGCACAGTTGTGAGTGACAACAGCATGTATAGAGTCTCAATTCAATCCCAGAATGAATAGACCTTTATTCTAAGTAGATTTCCTGTATGACATATGCTTATGTTTTCTTTATGACAAAAAGCTGAACACATTTTAAAAAGTGTATTTTAAAAGTTGCACATCCTTGTCAGTATCTATCTTCCATCTGACTGTCATCACATCTGACTGTTTCCATTTGAAACTGTATTTACATGAACATCATGCGCAGAACTAAGGTAAATGCCACTTTAACAAACACAGATATTAATAAAGGTTGTGACATCATATAACATCTGAACATGTCAAAATATGACACTGAAATATTTAAGGATGACCACAGGAGAGACTTAATTCCACTGATCAAAGTAAAGCAAGTGTTCACGGTCATCAAGCAACATGCGGCAATAAAAGAGAAGTGATAATAAAGCTTACCTTCTAAAATGTAGACCTTAAAGCCGCTGCTCATCCGAGTAATGTAGTGGAAATTAGCCACAGCCATGGCTCCTTGTCTTTGTCTGAGTGGAGCCAAACACGGAGGAACACCTTGACTGCTGGAGCTTACAGGACACAATGCGCCTCAGTTATAGATTGTATTGGAAAGGTAATGAGATGCTGGGTCTGGGCTCAGCCAGGTTAAGTATCAGGTGAGTGCAGATAGGTGCAGTGGCTTCCCTGTGACTCACTTCCTGCATTCAGATTGGCTGCCGCCGGAGCCAATGGAAAGCCCTCATTCACTCAGTGTTGTTATTGTCCTGCAGGCGGAGTGTGTGCTCACAGATAGGCCTGTCTCAGAGGTAGAAAGTGAAGTTTCAAAATGCGATCCACAGAATTCACACTTTTGTGTCATTCGACATTTTCTTCAGTAGGTGGATATCATGAGGAAAAACAGCTCTTTTGGTCATAAATCAGTTTTTACACACAACCTTTTAGATTCCTCCCTGACCCAGGAGGAAAGTGAAGTGTGCCTTTTTGTTTCCCTCCATGGAGTCAGCACCTGTCCCACTCCCCTCCTTCCCTCCCTCCTTCCCTCCCTCCTAATCTGCAATCTCACCAAACTGCATTTTTTCGAGCGCTTAGCCCACCGGAGCTCCAGTCATTCCACTGACCTGCCCATACACGCACGCAGCTGCACTGTGAGCCTGCCTTGCCAGTAATCCAAAGGCTTTTGTTGATGGCCAGACAAAGACTCCTAAGTCCTGAAAACGCTGCTGCCATGAGAACAATCCCGCCCGAGCACACTGAGGAGTGTGGCCACACGTAGAAAGTCTTTGGAGGCCACTCACTCAGATACTTAATGACATTTCCCCGTTGAAAATATTATTCAGAGTGTAATTAATTTGTTTTTAGACATGTTTTTCACATTAGCACATTGAGAATTAATAAAAAAGGATCACCTGCGCTGCCCTAATGTGATCTGATATATTAGCCTGTTTCAGTCCATCTAATACTGCTGGTGATTATACTGAAGAAGCCTGGTTCAGAAAGAGCTTCACATATAAAGGTCTTGCTGTGAATACATGCATGAATAGAGTTATGTTGGGTTTTTAAGATCAACACTGCCTCCCTAAGCCGTACACTGCAATAGCATGTCATCAAATCCTACATCAAGACACTGTAATGCGTATATGCAGGAGAGAAAAGTGTTTTTTATTATACAGATATATTGAAAAGCATGTTTCCACACTGCCAGATTCCACGCAGTCTTAACATTTTAAAATGTGAAGAATCAGACGCTGAAATGTCAGGAATCTGTGAGTGTCATACCGAGTTTTTCTAGTTTAGTAGCATAAATTGTTTAATAATTGTCTGTCCTTCAAACAGCTAAGAATGCGATTCTCGCTTCTCATTTCATTTCCTATATGTTGACAAAGTTTTCATTTTTCTTCATGCTAGAAAAGTGAGGTGATTGTCATCGCAGAGCACAAATTTGCAGTTTGAATAGCCACAATTTGATTGTGTGCTTTTGAATATCAGTGTATTTTAAAATATATATATATATATTAGTGTAGTACTGGTGTAATACTGGGGTATTCTGTTTCACTAAACAGGAAATAGTACCAACCCCTATCTAAACCAAATGTAAATATAATCTCCAAGTTAATGTAATACTCCCATATACTCCCACCTGTACCGCTGCAGTGGATCTTCACAACAAGTTAAACATGAAGCAAGCAGCTGCTCAAAATGAACATTCAGCTAATAATATCAGTAAGAAAGAAAAGTTTATATAATTCTATTTTTTTAATTAGATGGGGACTGAAACTACCATTAACACTGACAAAACATAACCCATATATTGATTAATATTGATAATCATGTAGTAAATAATGATAATAAATTATTATATAGTTAATGCAAATCAACAAAGAGGGAACTTAAAAACACCCATTGCTGAAATGACCTGGATTGGTCTGAACTTGGAAGGTGTAGAGTTAAATCAATTCATAGATACTGGTAAATAATTAAATATCCTGCATTATAAGTCAAATATCACCAGGTGTCTTGTTATGTATCTAAATCACACTTATTTACTCATGCAGAAAAGGTCATTAAATATCTTATTTTAAGCTCAAATATCCTACACAAATGCTATCAGTGCTAACAAGCAGACATATTGGACCAAATATATTTTCTAAGCTACAGACCTATTTCATCATCAAATAACAGCAGCACTAAAATGGGCTATACATTTTCATTAGTTTCCATTACTTTGTCAGCATACAGTAGGCTATGTATCAGTGGAAGGAGACCTTGTACTTTAAATAGGCTAGTAGCTGTCTCTACCAGGCATTAATGATTCAGATACGCTCTGTTATGTGTATCTGTGTCCATTTTGAACACAGTTCAGTTACCATTGCACGGTGTTGTTTCCAGAGCGGGGCCTGGGACTCCCAGGGGGTCCGTGTTGATGGTGTTGATCTCTGACTCTGGGTATCACCAACAGATGGCGCATCTCTGGTCAGGGCGCTGAGAATCAAAGGTAACACTCTGGCAGTGGCCTGAAGGCCGCTGTTTTATTGGACACAACAGGGCGCAATATCACATCAACACCCATAAGCACCCTGTGGAGTCAACAGCAGGCTCATGTCTGACAGAGAGCGACGCCCCTGTCACCCTGCTCTCATCAGCACCACCCTCAGATCGCAACACGGAGCTGCGTCAAGTCACACAAACACAGAGCGAACAAAACAGGAAGTTTATGTGCATGCCCTTTAATAGCCTAAAGGTACATCACAAAAATGTTTGGTATTTTAACTTTATGTATTTAATAAAAAGCAAATCTAAATATATGTTGATTTCGTGTTCACTGACTGGAACATTAGAAAGTGGACCACTGGCAAATAGCTTTACACAATGCCAAAAGAGAATTACATTTCCTTAATTGGAATTCAATGATGTTACTATAAATGTGTTACGTAAATATCCGCTGCAGCTCATCCTTTGACTCACCCTTATGCTGCAAATTCTGTGTGCTGAGAATAAAAAATAAAATTCAGCAGAATCCTAATTAACATACGTTTATTTTGAAAGCAACATCCGGAAGTCGTGGTCCGCACACTGCCTACCTTGACACTGATCCAGTCTTGCAGGCTCCGTCCTTTCCCTCAGGATGACTGGGAGTGACGCAGGGCGGACGGAAAAAACCGGGGCTTGAGGGAAAGGAAAGGGAGAACAGGCGGTGATGCAGGAAGGACTGTAGCTTCGATTTCACAGGTTCAAGCCCGATGCACGGCCTGCCTGCCTGCACAGAGGACATGAGAGTCACCTATATGCAGGCTTTCCTGTGACAGATAATAAGGAATTATCACCTCAGTTTGGACACACTCGCAGGTAGGTTTCATCATACCTTGTTTGTCATGTTACCACAGTGGGGGGGGGGGGGGGGGGTTGATAGGTTGGTTGAAATATATTATATATATATATATGTCAGAATGAATGATTTGATTGAAGTCAGTCGTGTGGATTAATTTCAGCTTTCATCAGGGGGCTGTGTGATGGTTTCCTTAAGCCAGTTCCTTAAGCTGTACAGTCACGATCTCTTACTACTGTGATCAGATATTGAAAATCTGCTCCTAATTAATAACGCAAGACTTGTTTCTCCTTAGGTAACATTGGTCCCCGTTTCTGCACATGGGGAAGTAGCCTAGTCATTCCATTTTCTTACTGAACACCAAGTTCTAAGTCGCATTCAGTGGGAGGATATTTGGAGCCCTCTCTCCGTCATTTTAACAACATTTCTCCACCATGAACTACCTACGCCGTCGACTCTCGGACAGCAATTTCATGTCCAACCTGCCTAATGGCTACATGACCGATCTCCAACGCCCCGACCCGCCGCAGCAAAGCCCTGCAGTGTCGCCGGGGCCGTCGGAGAGGCGCCAGTCCACCAGCCAGCAGCAGCAGCAGCCGCAGCAGCAGCAGCAGCAGCAGTCGGGAGGTGGAGGCTCTGGGTTCTTCTCGTCCATATCCAATGCTGTCAAACAGACCACCGCCGCTGCGGCTGCGACCTTATCCGAGGCAGCGGACCGGGCAGGCGTCTCCAGCAGTGCCAAGATCCTCCTGGTTATCGATGACCAGCAGACCGACTGGTAAGAGCAGTGCGCAACGCCAGCGCAGGTGCTTCGTCTAGACAGAGATGTGTGCCAGAGCGTGGGTTGCGGTGGCCTAACATCTAGAAGGTCATATGATTCACACAGTGCTGTGAGACACATCACGTGTAACATCTTCGGCTTCTCGCTCAGATCAGAAACACCTTGCAGATGCGTCTGTGCGCTTGTTGTGCCATGGCAAAGGCGCAACACACTGACGACAGAGAAGCCATTTTCATTTGACGATCGGCTATTGCTTGTGGCGAATTCCTCCTGCATTCTGCCATTAAAATGCTTCCAATTGCGCCAAAGCACTGGGTGTGGGCCAATGCCACCACGATGATGCAGGTATTTTCAAATCGAGGGAAAATTTGGCACAAGAAAAACACATAGGCTGCACCACGTTAGTCAAGCCTCTTCACCAGTGCACAATATGCATGCTTATTAGAGCCTTGTGCACAAGGCAAAGGGGGTAAAACACTACACTCCTGTGTCAAAATGACACCCTAGGTGATAATAAACTAAGCACATCTGTGCATCAACACACCAAAAACCCTTCCACCCCTCAGTATATAACAAATAAGGTTTTCTAACTCTGCCACAACAGGCTGTGGTACACATTTATACTTCATAGGCAAGGACCAGTACTTATGTCCTCATGTCCAATTCATATGTGTTTATTCATCAGGTAGATTAAAATAATGTTACAGAGGCTGCTTAAGTCAGTTTCATGCATTGCCAACAGGTAATAACAGCGTTGTGTTCCATTGATGTCGGCTTATTTCATGTATTTGACATCATGTTTTCTATGTGCCAGGATTACACTCAGAATTGGGAAATGCTCTGCAAATGCTGCAGGAAATGGCATCTGTCAATCACAGGAGAAATGTGTAAAAGCAAATTCATGTTTTTTCTGGATGCGAACAACAACTGGATTCCTTGTTCTACATTCAGGGTGAAGGTCTTCAGAGGAAGAAAGATCCACGGTGAATTTGACATCAAGGTTGAACAGGTAGGTTTCACATGTGTAACCTTTTGCTTTGTTCTGTGTCATTGCTCTTCTTTACTCCCTACCAGGAGGACAGGAAATTTATACATATATATATATATATATAAAAAAATCAATCATGAGGAATCCAGCCAAGCTTTTCTGAGCCTTGTGAGCAGACTGTGAAGTTGGAGGGATGTTACATCATTCTTTCATAAGACATTAGTATTTTGTATTTTGTTGTTGGATAAGACTGTCTCTGATCTATTTGTGCCAAGACCAGGTAACATGGTGCATATGGTTTATTCTTACCTGTAGATGAAAGCATTACCATTGGCATTATTACAGGATGAGTTGATTGTATTTATCGCTGGTCATTATTCTCTCTCTAAACAGCTATACATCTTCTGTGGAAATTTACCCCTGCTTGTATAATTCATCCTTTGTCTTCACTTTGATCCTATTTTGGTTTCATATCTTCATTTTCTTGAGGCAGCATCTTGTTTGGTGACTCTTACTAATCTGTCCACGCGCAGTTTAGGTGCACTGATCAACAACTGGCTTGATATTAGCATAAAACGAAAATCATGAACAGCTGAATCATGCAGCACAGTGCAAGCTGTTGCTCGTGTTCACAGAGAGCCCCTTAGAATGACAAATGTAATGTCCCAACTCACTGATGAGTGAGTATTGATAGGGGAGGGGACTGCTGCATTCATTCTCACACTGAAGAGCTCTCTCCTGACGTGTGATTAACAGAAACATATTGTGTTTGACAGATGCCTCCACAGTCACTCTGAGGGATTCAAACCTTTAACTGTAATCTCTTATAAAAAGGTATATGAGCTGTTTGTGTAGCCTAAAAACTGAGCAATAATCGTTTTGGTAATTGTGTGAGTAGTAATGTGTAGAATATTTATTGATACAGTATATGTCTTGCTATTTATACTGCAGTGCACCCAGCACCCTAAGAATACAGCAAATCTTTTTCCCTGTTGACATTTTACTCTCTTCCTGTTTTTTTTTTCTTATACTTTATGTTGCACTGGCGTTGTCATTATTTCCCCTGTGTTCTCTTAACAGGGAGAACTCACTTCAGATAAAGTCTGCTCGCTTATGATTGTACCATGTTCAGCCTGGTTTATGCTGCCCTCCTGCTCTGATGATGATGGTGATTTTTATGGCGTTTTTTGTCCTTTTAGGCAGAATTTTCTGAAATCAACCTGGTGGCAAACGCCACAGGCTCCTACAATGTGGACCTTGACGCGATCAGGAATGGACATAAGGTTACTAAGTAAGTACTCTGTAAAATATCCCAAGAGTTTGCATCATCTGCAGTTGCTGCATGTGAGATACAAGTTGGATTTATGTTGAAATCTTTTTCATTAATAACCAAACAGTTTGTCTTGTACAGTGTGGTTAAATATTTTGCTGATGTCCTCTGTTCCAGAACCTTTAAGCCAGACTTTGTGCTGATCAGACAACATGCCTTCAGCATGGACAAGAATGGAGACCACCGCAACTTAGTGATTGGACTGCAGTATGCTGGACTGCCAAGTGTTAACTCTTTGCACTCTGTCTACAATTTCTGTGACAAACCATGGGTGGTAAGTAGCCTATTATTTAATCAATAAGGGAATTTGAAACCATATCGCATATTGAGTTCAGCTGCGTAGACATATAAAGCTGCATCTTAAACATTTGTCTCCCTTTCAGTTTGCTCAGATGTCTAGACTCTACAAGCAACTGGGCCCGGAGGAGTTCCCACTGATTGAGCAGGTTTACTATCCAAACCACAAGGAGATGGTGAGTTCTGAGCCATCTGCTCTCATCCTCTATCTCCTCCCCCCTCACCACTTGCCCTGGTGGGTATTTCTTTATGGTAAACAACCCTTAAAGACATACACACACATACAAATACACATACACACACATGCAGACAGGTCATCCTTCTGCATGGGTCACATGTTAGGAGGGTAATCCACTTTCATGTCAATAGTCCATCTCATGTAGCAGCTGAGACCAATCTAATTTTCAGGGGAGTGTCTTGTTGTTTTTGTTCCCAGTAGAGGCCGAGTTTATGATAATTTTTGTGCCAAGTCGGTGTCAGTACAGTTAAACTGAGTCTGTTGCTGCAGAGCAGTCATCTCCACCCCTGCAGTCACAGCCTGACAGTACTGGGCTGGTTTTCAAGTCATCCATATGAATCAGAACTTCCTGCAGAAACAGAGAAGGAGTGCTACTGTCTGTGTCATTTCTTCTTGATTGAAATGGTTTGAAAATGGGTGTTTTTGTCATTAGGGTGCCATGTAGAAGTCCATTTATCTGAAATCTGAGTATGTGATGATGCTCTTGTTACAGATTACCTCCCCTCGGTTCCCTGTAGTGATAAAGATGGGCCATGCTCACTCAGGAATGGGAAAGGTAGTGCTGGAATGCTCAAATATTTACTCATTTCAACATGAATGCCACATTTTTGGGGACAAATATATGTCATTGTATTTATATCTCGACTCCAGGTGAAAGTGGACAATCAATATGATTTTCAAGATATTGCCAGTGTTGTGGCACTGACCAAGACTTACGCCACATCTGAGCCTTTTATTGATGCAAAATATGATGTCCGCATCCAGAAGATTGGTAACAATTACAAAGCTTACATGTGAGTGAAATAAGTGTTCTACACACATTTTATTACAGCGAATGAGATTACAAAAACCTCTACCAAACAGCCAACACACTGGCATGTTATGGCAGATGGAAATTGCAGAACATGTAACGTACATTTTTTGCTCTAATGAACAGGAGAACGTCAATTTCTGGCAACTGGAAAACCAACACTGGCTCATCTATGCTTGAGCAGGTCGCCATGTCAGACAAGTAAGAGCACATAAATGCAGATGAGAAGAAATTGTAAATAATATAATGTCTGGCTGCACTATTAAAGCAGTGTTTGACACGCTTTTGCAGGTACAGAATGTGGGTGGACTCTTGTGCTGACATCTTTGGAGGGCTGGATATCTGTGCTGTGGAGGCTCTACATGGCAAAGATGGCAAGGACTACATAATAGAGGTACTAGAAGGCAGTATGAGGATATCAAGGGAACATTTTTCTGTGATCGTAAGGAATATACATTAAATCCATCATTTTTTTTTTAGGTTGATGACTGTTCGATGCCACTGATTGGAGACCAGCAGGACGAGGATCGTGTACAGATTGCAGAACTGGTGATCTCTAAGATGAACCAGACTGTTCCACGCACTTCAAGCTCTTCCATAGTCCGTGCCGCATCAGGACAGCCAGCACAGGTGCTCAAACCACAGATGCTCTATACTTGCTCCTGTAATTTTGCACCTTTTTTTTAATCTCCCCTCATATTTATTAGTAATATGTGTCGAGTTAGGTCTGGTTTTATTTAGAGTGCACAGTCACACACATGGTCTCCCAGAATATCTTCCTTTAAAAGAGGACATGGTATCTATCCATGCAAGGCTTTGAATCGCAAAGCAAGGCCTTTTCAGTCAGCTGTTTGTCTGATGAGTGTAGAATTTGTGTTATGTGGTTGACTTTTGAACCGTCCACTGGTGGAACCATTGTGAAAGACAGCATTGTAAAGACAATGGTAATGTTACAAAAATTGGAAAGTAAATGCTATTGATTCAAAGGATGGAAACAAGTCCAAAGTAACAGCAATATTTTCAGCACTCTGACTCTGTGAAATCGTAGCCATCAAAATTTAGGATAATGTCTGAAAATAGATGTGTATGTCTGACGGTACCAGTACTTAGCATCTCAGTCTAATAGTATTATCTTATCTTTTAGGCTTTTTGGATGCCTTGTGGCAGAAGATATTAAGCCAAAAGATTTTAACATTTACTCTCTGAATATGTTTTTCTATCATTTTTTCCTTTCTGGTAAGATAAATACTTACGTTCTGCCCTTTTTACTCCTGTGTGTTTTATAGAAAGCAATGTCTCCTCAGCCTGTCTCTCAGCCAAAAGTACCACAGGCTCAACAGCGCCCCTCACCTCAAGGCAAGAACTTCACTGTTTTACAATAACAAAAGACTAAAATATTAAATATTTTTGTTTAGAAATATTTTTCTTTATTTTCAAGTTCAGGCAAGGCTATTTGGAAAGTGTCTGAATCTGATTCTGCTTGCGTTAGGTGGTCCTCAGCAAAGTCCCCCATCTCAGCAACGTCCGCAGCCTCAAGGCCAACCTCCTGCACAGGCTCAGCAGTCTGCTCCCAGCCCTGCTACAGCCGACCCCAGTGCCCAGGCTAAGGCTAGCCAAGGACCTGCAGCCCAGCCAAGACCACCAGGTCAGGGAGCTCCTCCAGGCCAGAGACCTCCTTCTGGTCAGGGCTCTCCTCAGCGAGGTTCCCCTCAAGCTCAGAGGCAATCGTCTGTCTCCCAGCAGCAAAAAACATCTGCAGGAGGCCCTGGCCAGAAACCTCCAGGGGGCCAACCCCAGCAACAGAGGCCTACCCAGCCCCCTAGACAGCAGTCACAGGGGGGGCCACAGCAACAGAGGCCTCCTGGCCAGCAAGGTCGTCCTGGAGCGCCCACCACCCAGCAGCCCCGACCTGTTGCTCAGGGCCAGGGGGGCCCAGGAGGACGACCCCCACTGCAGCAAAAGCCTCAGCCCCCACAGAAGCCCAGTCAGGACAACACGGCTATGGGCGGCTCTCCACAACTAAAGTAAGTAGCTCTGTATGATAAATGACTTGGAATCAGTTTCCTCTCATTTTTCATAAAGTGAACCTCACAGCTGACCTGAACCGAAGGTGCTCTCTTACTTTTTGCCTGCATTGAGTTATGCATGACACATGGGAAATCAGTTCATTCTCTCTATTGACAAATGATCCACCTGAATGTGCATGATGTATTGATTCTTACATTTTTTCAGTCCTGCAGCAGCAGTTTCTCTGGACTGACTGTGATACATTAGAACAATAACAAGCAGAAGCTGGCTTGTAGTTGTTCATAAACATAATGAATCTAGCACATCTGCCACAATCCATGTTCTGGGACACAAGTGACATTATGTACAAATGACAGTATGTCATTTATTGGGGTGTATATAATCCAAAATAAGCAGAGGGATAATGCAAGACTATACAGATTTGTGTTGTACTTTATAAATCATCTGTTTGATTGCTTCTATCTTAGTGATCAATACGTTCCCCAGTTGATGGTTTTGGTTAAATGGATGGATAAATGACACATAATCCTGATCAGATTATATTAATGAGATTACATTTTATGCTCATAAAACAAGTTTCATCAATCAGTGATAAAAAACAAAACATGCACCACTTTGCATCCAGAAAAGTCATTCACTATTCATATCATATCAAAGCCAACTTGAAATGATAAGGTAATACTGAATGACCGTAGACAAGGAATGCGCTTTTATCATCTTTTACCGAGCCTTTTCTCTCCTGTCTCTCGCTCTGTCATGCCATGTCCAGTCTATTCATTCCATAGGTTTGCTGCATGACTTTAATAGCCTTTCCTTCTCCTCTATTGCCATTTTCCTCTCTTTATAGCAAGTCCCAGTCTCTTACCAATACCTTCAACATTCCAGAAACCCCAGCGCCACGAGCCAGCCTTAGCCAGGATGAGGTGAAGGCAGAAACCATACGCAATCTACGCAAATCTTTTGCCAGTCTCTTCTCAGACTGAGACGGCATAAGACCCTCCCACACCTCCTCCTACTGACAGAAAGCTGGACAGGCAAACTGAAGGACAGTTCCTTCTTCCCCCAACGAACAAGGACCAACAGGATGCCGTCTCCAATTCATGTACATTGACCCTGATGTGAAAATGTACACACCTGACACCCACTGCCTAAATAGTTAAAATCTTTTCAAATGAACACATAGTAGAATACACAGTAAATTTAGGCTCTAATGTCTGAAACATTCCTTGCCTCGCCTTGAGCTTAAGTAAGTCACCTACTCATCGTGTCACACAAACTGAGTGCACATGCCTGCTCACACACACACACACACACACAAACGCACACACACAAACACATACACACAAACACATGCACACACACAAAAGCCTGTATATGCATGAGCACACACACGAAAATAAGAAACAAAACAACACAATACTGCTCCCACTTGTTTGTTGGTGCCGTAAAGTCAATGTGAGCTTTATGTTCAAATTTCGGTTGGCTTGCCAACCAACCAAATGAATTAAGGGACTGTACGGAAATTATTAGGGTGGGGAGGGGTGCTGAATCTTATATTTCATGTTGTAAAAAAGCAAGGCCCTCCCCAGTTTCATTCAATAACTCAAATAATATATTTATAACAAATAGAATAAAATAGTGAAAAAATAGCCACTCTCTATTTTTGAATAAAGACCTGATAAATAAACTGTTTATAGCCACAAAATGGAACAAGCTACAACAATGTGCTGAAGGGCTTCTGCACTGCAATATTTTCCCCCACCCGACCAAATCTGCTGCATACAGTTAAATGCACTTCCATGGCACATATGATAACCATCTTTTTGATGTAACTATACAACTCCTTTTTGTATAAATAATCATACAAATATAAAATACGTAATAAAATGGTAATATGGAGTCATAAAACCATCCTCTGCTCTTCCAAAAAAAGTTAGACTACCTTCCCTTTGGCAAAAATAAAAATGACAATACCCTCCCCCTTTTCTGACGTTCTCCACCCCTAATAGTTTTTGTACAGTCCCTAACTCAGCACAGCTGCACACATAGGCTGTCCAGTGTTAGCTAATGCTAGATCTGTACGAGCTGTTGACCGCTCATGGTGATGTCTTAGCTGCATGTCAACAGGAGGCAGTGGTTGCATTTTCCTTCCCCTGACATTGGTGCTTGTAACTGTGTCGTCACATGTAGTTGAATTAGTTCGTAAAGTAGCCTAGTAGGTGTTGTGCGTATGTTGTTGCTGCCACTTCTTCCTGTGTTTTTTTTTTAATTTATTTATTTTTTTCGCACAAGAACAAAAGCCCAAAAGCTCTCCACCTTCAAAGCATGCCTTACACAGACAAGAACGTCAGATCAAATGGAGCTGTCTCAGGGATGTCCAATTGATTGTGACACTTGTGTGTGGGTGAGGGTCTTCCATTGCAGTTTTTATTGTGGTTGTTTACCAATAATGAAGGAAAAGCATGCATCTTAATGAGGTAGAATGTTTTTATTATTTCGAATGCATTTGCACACAGAGTATACTGCAACATTATACTTGAATACAGTGACACAGACTGATGTATGAAGTCTATATTTTCAGGTTTAGTCATCTGCCACTCGACAAAGCAACAACTCACTGTTCCCACTCTGGGTTGCTGTCGTGTCTGTGGCCGGTGCGGTATAGTAGGATACAGCATAGGCAGGGTTGGCAACTGTTCAGGTACATTTAATGAAAAATTAGATTATTTACAGTTTCATTTCATATTCCCTAATTAGAAAAAACCTATGACTGCAATCCAACCATTGAATTTAGTGAATGCTCAGTACATTAGTGGATTACTTCAGTTTGATTTTAGGGTTTAACAGTTAGTCAGTGCGTTGCGATGTTGCACTCAAGTAACTCCCACCCTGAATTGGTGCAGCAGAGTTTCTGCTTCCATTAATACCCCTCTGTTCTCATCGGCTTCATTGTCTGAGGCCATACTCCAAAGCATATACAGCCAAGGAATGTTACATATTTGCAGTTCATCTCTATACAGAAAAATAATGTAAAGGTGTAGGAATGTCAACTATGGGATACACCTCTGCAGCAGATTTAGCACTTCCTGTCATCCCTTCTTCGCACTGACAACGCTTTTCTTTTGATCCCTACTCTGAAGATTTTTATCACCAGGCACTGAAAATGTCTTCCAGAAGGAATGATTTCCATTCGAATGTCAATGTAGTATGGCAATATCAAGCTTTTTAGAGAAGACCCAATAGCCAAAAGAATAGAGGAGTCCTGGTTCCCCTGCAGATTGTCCACGCTGCCTGTGTTTATCAGCCTATTTGTGTAGCCACAGTGACCCCTTGTGCTCAATGGTGCATAAATGTGTGAATGTTGTTCTGTAACTGGTGAAACCAAATAGATGTGTTGTACAGAGCTCTGAGTGATGCAGATTGTGACCTTTATCCCCTGCTGCTATTTGTGCTTGTTGATATGTGTCTCTAAAGTTTTTAGCATTTATTTTGAAAATCTGTGCACTTTGATTTCAATTACCTTGTACATGCTTCTATGAGGCAAGACTATGTGGGACTCGTAAGTTTATGCATTAGTGGTTTAGGGCTTTATTTTGAAATTTTACTGCGACTCAGTGTCAGTACATGATTGTCAGAGTTGTCGTGGCACAGCCTACTGCCAGGAGAATCATTAAGAGCAGCCTTGTGTAATTGTTACACTGAGTGTGCAATTTATGAAAATGAGCCATTATAACTAGCATGGATGGTTAACTTTGAAAAATGTCATTCTGTCACTCAGAGGCATCTTGGCCATATTGAGACATACTATTTGCCGTGGCACCTCCTGAGACTGACAAGATGAGCTGTGACAGCCATGCAGAGGAGTAGTTTATTGTATTTATGTTTTTGATATTCACAGATGTTTTCTTTTCAAACGTTTACATTATTTATGGTGGAAATATTTGACTGTGAATGTAATTTTCGTTTTGTTACAGCTAGTTTTATTGTTTTCTAAATGCATTGTATAATCATTGTGAAAAGATGAAATCCTTACAAATTTGAACTGATTGTCAGTCGATGCCTGCCAGAGTTAAAAATCATAAATGTAAGTGCAAAAATCAAAAAGATGAGGTTTTTGTTAATCAAAAAAGATACTGCATAATGTAAATCATGGTGGATTATTGAATTAAATGTAAAAAAAAATATTTGATGTTATATGCAATGTAGCTATATTATGTGAAAATAAGTATGTTCTTAAAACATGCATATGTCTAATAAAGTCTATCAACAATGACTGTTTTAGTTGTTACTGTTGACACAATATTGAACAGTAACACAGTGTTTTGGTTTCAAGTCTGACCTTATCACACCTGCACATTTAACATATTTCTCCTCTGTTTTTTTTTCTCCATGTTGAAAGTCTAAAGATAGAATCCATCCACATCAAAAAACTGAAAACATTTCTCTGGCCTCAAAGTGACCCATGTGAAACAGGTACGATTTGTAGTATTAAGTTGTGCTTGTAGTGCCTGTATCTCTGTGACTGTTTTATGATTAGGTAATTGTTCTTTAGGAATGTGAATGTTGAATAAAATATCTAAAATGTGAAGTTAGGAAAGAGCTGAAAAAATGTTTTTCAGACTCTTTCCATTTCCGTTTAAACTTTTTTTTTTTTTAAACGACAGAACACGTTATAAATTGACTGAATGCATGTTGCACATTTGTTTTGCACAGTAGTTGCAATAGCAAGCATATGAATGTGACCACAAGGTGGTGTGGGCCTGCAGTCTGACTACTGTAGCCTCCAGTTCTGCACAAGATTAACCAGGGTTATATAATTCATTTCACACCGGTGAAATGAGCACACCATTAAATTTCTCTGTGTGTTTGATCAGAACTATTTCATTACTCTACACATCAATCTCGGAAATGCTTTTGTCCCAAGAGGATTACAATATGTGCATCGACATTTGATAAGAACCAGGGCTATTTATTATAAAAAATTGGAAGTGCATCCCTGTCAAACAAACTAGCAAACTAGCAGTGCTTAAGATTTATTTTTGATTAATTTTCTTTGTATAAATGAGAGGTAAGAAACTGATGACTATTCAGTCGTTGTTACATTTTAATAGCTGATATGTTGGTAATGCTGCAGAGTTTTATAGGAGTTTTTTCTCCTACTGTGTTATGAAAAGCAGAGGTCTCATTTTCATTGTCTTCTGAGACTTAAATCTTAATTACACAATTCTGAGTCACAGAAAACACAAATACCAATGTGTGCATAATCCTATTAAACAAAACCGATCTGGGACATATGAACAAATGGCTCCCTGAACACCGCTCATCATAGTTTAGCCTATCTTTTCTTCTGAGAATAATGACCTAATTCAGGGTGTTTGAAGGAAAACACATGTATTATGTTCCAGTATCTTTTGGACTATCATTAGGGCTGCAAATCTGAATGCAGCAGCTGCAGCTGAGAGAGAAAGAGAGAGGCCAATAGTCTTATGCACCCCCAGTCAAAAGAATGTCTGTGTTTCTTTTCCTTGTTCTGTACAAATCAATGACTGCATCTCAAGCTGAAAAAAATACATTAAAATTGAGATATTTTACATTCCCCCCATCCAAGTATAAAGTGACTTGTTCTGTCTAAATATTTTGGCTGGTAGGTTTAATGCAGTGTGGAAGAAGGTTCAGTTTTAATCACCAAACGAATCAATTTCTTTTTCCCTTGAAAGTTTTCATTGCAGACAAAAGTGTCTGGAGTGCAAAATCCAATTTGCAGGCAGGATGTTATATAGCGACTCATGAAAGGTCAGTGTGTTTTTTTTTTTTTTTTTAAAGCTCTGTCTGCTTGCTTGCATTTCTTATCTGGCTGCCCGGCGGGCCGTACTGTTCTCTCCTAACAAATCTGGGTTTGGTTAGCAGTTAAGATGTTCATCCAATCAGGAAAGATATGATTTCATGTTGAACGTGTTCTGGCAGATCATGACATTCTACTTTTTTTTTGTCATGTAATATTTGTAAATCATTACCATTCACACATAGTACTTCACATGTTGAGGCTACGCTAGCAAAAGATAGAAGACAACAGGCCTCTATCTGTTATTGGACAGAGGTTATCACTGTCTGGCAAACTAAGCCCGTCCATTCACAAGAAAACAACACATACTGTGATCTTCTCCCACCACACAGTCATACACTTACGATGCTGTGTAATCATTCTGATACAACTTTCATGACTTTGCAGGTCACAAATAAAGGATTCAAGGGTATTGCCAGCAATAGTCATCACTCTGTTACGGACAGGGAGAAGACAAAAGGGGAGGGGCACTCACGACTTCTTCTCTGAGCCAGGATATTTCTAGAGCTGACCCATTTAAACAGCCTGGAGAATGTGCGAGCACAGGTGCATCTGGATGGCTGCTAATGCCAACCAGAATGCGTAATTATATACATTACGATGCTATTAAATCGCAAATTGAAGCGAGTGTCAAAACTGATTTCTCACATGTAATTTGATGGGGTGGGGTGGGGTGTGCAAACTACACAGGATTTGAATGGGAGAAATTCCTGGCATGGCCAGTGCTTAAACAGAATACATATAAGCAAGGGTTCTCAATTATTCTCATTCTTTTATAAAGGAAAAAAGAAAAGCTAATGTTAGTCCACAATTCAGTTGTTTCATTCAGCAATCAGACCACTCTTTGAATGGGAAACAGTGGCTGTTAACAGCTATTATACATGGCCTACAGCCTTGCACAATTAGTGCAACTCTGTACTGCTTTGCATTGTGCTGCTGTGGGATGGAGGGTGAATGATATCCATATTTAGAAGGACCTCATTGATTCTTCCTAAGCGAGGCACAAAAGATTTGTTGTCTGTCCAGTCTTGAATAGCGAGACCTTGATGACAGCCCTGCTTTATAAAACCTCCTGCTGGCCTCAATCACTGTTTGAAAATCTGATGAAACTCAGAGCGAGGGCAGCGTTCTCAAAATGTAATATTACAACATTCTGCCTCTATGTTGTTACATAACAATATGATGGTGACAACGCACAGCCACAAATAATTCACACCATCCGAAAGGAACTGCACCCACCGAGGGGGCACGTCTTTTTCGTTCCAAATGTGTTTCCCCTTTAATAAACTTGCACACATGACTGAGTGATTCTTTAGCCAAAATGGCAGATGATGAAGGATGAGAGAGAGGAGTATGTAGTAAAGATTTAATTAAGCCTCACCATGGGATGTCTTACTGTGACTCCAGAGACCAGGACAGAGGAGTTTGTGTTTGCTCAGTGCAGCTGTGAATAATATCTACACTATTCTTACTTTGACCTACATGCGCTACATGAGAGGAGGATCTGAGAATATGCCCACATGAGTGCAGGTCTTACATCCTTTTCTTATTTTCACTGTGAAGCTGCCAGAGGGGGGGCGGGCAGGGGGTCTCCTTATGTTGAACCTTATGTTAGCTTTAAATTGTCAATCTCTGCTGGAGATAATCTGGGACAGGATAGACATCTGTGCTGTGTGTCTCTGCTGAACGTACAGTCGATATGAGGCTGCACGGCTGAATCCCTCCCGCGGTGCATTTTGCAGATTGTTGTAGCTTTACGAGCAATTTTCACCTCCCTCCGTCTTATCCTGGTGACGTAGATATTCATGGTCTCCATGGACGACTCCCATCAGCACTTTCCTTCATTCCCTTTGAAATCGAATCAGTCTCTTTTGCTCCTACTCACTGTGGGTTGCCATGGATACTGCTCCCAAATAGTTTGGCTTGCACATGAATTTGTTTATGAGTGTGACTTGGAGTGGATTGGAATGTTCTTTTTTTGTGCAGCCAAAGTAAACATTATTTGCTAATTGAGCATGAGATTTTTTTTTTTTTATCAAATGGTTTTTCTATTCTATTCTATTCTATTCTACTCTATTCTATTCTTCCAGATGAAATATGCAGAGCACTTCAAGTGATCATGAAATCTCTTCTACTTTTACAGCATGCAGTATCAGCTACCTGAGGACACTAACCCTGGTTTACTTGGGGAAAAGCCTAACAATCTGCTGAATATAATCTAGTCTGATCCACCAGGGATCAAAACTACGCCAACGTGGATTTTTTGGTTCCCTGTTGAGCCAAAAAAGCATCCAAACACTTCACTTGGCTGCTTTTAAATCCTCACAAGAAAACACGTGGCCTGAGTGAGTGGTGCGCGCCCTATATGAACCGCCACAACTGTAAATTATGTCTGGGGCAAGAAAGTTGGACGGAGAGGATTGAGTGGTTTAATTTGTTGAGGACTTAATCAGGGTTCAGTTGGAATTAAGGAAAGACTGGGTGCATCTCCTGCTGAGTTCCTCACATTCACCACTGCTGCAGTTCACTTTCCTTGAGGCCGGTGAATATGAGAATCTGCATATTTCATACAGGGCACGAAAAGGTTCTGTAAGATCTCAGGGAACCACCCACGTTCAGACACATGTCTATCTAAGAGGTCTAATTCTGGCTGTATGAAATATTAACCACTGCAGGGACCGTAGAAAACATCCCCAGCTTCCTCAGGGATTTCCTTTTGACACAGTCCAGCTGAAATGTGTTTAATGTGTTTTCCGTGTTTCCTCTGACACAACATTACAGTCCAAAATAAGCGAGAGTGAGACTTGCTTTGTATTAGCCTGCCACATTGGCTATTTTTGGGCTGGACTTTGTAAGTAACGGGGGTTTAGCTTTGAGTGTGCATCCCCACATCTCTTATGTAATTCCCTCCAAAGGGAACGCAGAAATCAGAAAGAAAGTTTGTAGACTTAATCTCACACAGAGTCAATTGGAGACAGCTGGACAACTGAAGGTTGTTTAGTGTGCCAGCATGAGTGGAGAACAGTGTAGGAACAAAGCAGAATGGCCAGATTCTCCCTTATGGCGCATTACAGCTGATATGTCCAAGCAGCATGAGAGCTTGTTTTTGAGGCAGAGTGAGGTGGTGTTCAACCTTAATGTTGTTACTTTGTGGTGGTACAAGCCTGATTGATCCCTGTCAGGGGGGCCTTTAATCAACAGAGAGCCATTGATTTCCTCTCCACAGAGCGTACGAGGTGCCGAAGACACCTGCTAGCAGCCAGCTGACAGACACTTATGCCTGCTAACCAACAGCTGACACAAACTGATGCCAATGCACTGTGCTGGAGAGGGTGAGTCACACAAGCTCAGATAGATCCCACACTCACGGATGCTGGATGCCGCACAATGTGAGATCCACTGTACTGTCATTCTGAATCATATCTAACACACGTGGTATGTCACAGATGGAGTCTCGGTTAGCTGTGGTGTTTTGTAACCAGGATGCAGGCAGGAAAAGAACCACAGATAATAGCAAAGAAGAAGAAGAAGAAAAAAAAAACAGGTCACCATCTACTGTGCTCAAGCATTGGAAAGCAACGAAATGAGCTCTGTCAAAGCTAAGTATCATTGTGATCTTCAGCCTGATCAGCAGAGTTCGTCTGTGGTGATTTCTATCTGCCGTGAGGGTGCTACAGTAAGCAGTTTTCCTGCGGCAGTCACATGCTCTGGGCTGGGGCTCACAGCCAGCTGTCCCCATCATCAATTCAGACAATGCAGTAGGCTGTGGTGAGGTGAGACTTCAGGCCAGATGTGTGTAGCACAGAGCAGACTGGGAAAGGCATCATGTAAATGATTTTAAATCTTGCAAAACTGCAAACAACAAAGATGATTGCTGTATCAAGGAAATCCACGTGTACAAGTTCTCAAAGCAGATTTCATCAGTCTAAATAGTTCATTATCAGAAAAGCAACAAGTTTCGATACACAGTCTGTCACACTAAAGCTGCAACGATTAGTTGATTAATCAGTTGATAAACAGAAATGTAATCGCCACTATTGCTATAATCAAATAACCTTTAAGCAGTTTTTCAAGCAAAAAAAAAAACTGAATGTCTGTTGCTCAAAGAGAAGACATTTGATAATGTCACTTTAGGCTGTGGGCAATTATAAGCTGCATTTTTCACAATGGTTTCATAGACCAAACAATATATTCATTAATGGAGAAAAAAACCATAAGTGGCACATTCATCAGTAATGAAAATAATCCATCCATCTACTTCCTCCACAATTAAATAAAAAATGACAGTGTATTGGCACGATACTGCTTTTACTCATCACCAAGTCTAATGCATATCCAATGGTGTAGGAGGAACACCAGCAGTGCAAGTGTAGGAGAGGCCTGCATGCAGTCTTTTAAATGTGTGTGCAGACTTTCTAAAAATGTAATTGTCAGATCTGCTTTGCCTCCTGATGGAGAAAGCTGATTACAAAGCACCTTACACTGCAGGATGACCAAACAGCCAGCACTTCTCCCGGAAATGCCATGCAGTTGTCTTTAGGATTCCACATTCAGAGATGAACGGAGAGACCGCATTGCTGCTCCGACTTAACACCCACCCAACCCAGTATCCTCCACCACCACCACCCACCCCCTCCGAACCCCCCAACCCCCCCCTTTCTCATAAAAACACGCACAACCACGCCTCCAGAGACACGCGCACAAGCGCAGGCTCACAGACACACCTCCTCCTCTCCATCCACCACACACAAACACACGCACGCACACACGCGCACACACGAAGAGAGAGGCGAGTGTGAGAGCATCGCTGGGTGAAACAGACAACATGTAAGGCAGCATGAAGGACGAGTGCTCGGCTCCGGGAGGCTCACAGCAGGTGCGGTAGGGCTGAGGCTGCACCTCGGGGAGAGCAGGCTGCTGCTTCACCATGTCCCCCGCATCCGATCAGCTCACTGACGAGACGGTAAGGCCCCTCGTTCACTCCCGAAATCGTACATTTCCAAACTTAGCCGAACTCATTCTCCGTAGCTTTCTGCTTCCCGGCGGTGCTCTGTCCTGATTTGAACCCGCTGCTTCGTTTCTCTCTCCGCAAATGATGTCACTCCGGGCTCAAAGGCGTCAGGTCAGCCACAAAAGGATGGAGGGCCGTCCGTGCCGCAGCACCAAAATAAAACAAGGGGTGCCCAAGTGCGTTGGAGCAAGTGTTTGGTAACGCTTCAAGGCTGAATGCGCCTCGGCGTGGCCCCCGTGGGGAGTCTTCAGGCGAATCTGCATCACATTTGTTATTGTCTGGAAACCCTTGCAAAAGCGTAGAAAACAGTCTTCGAAGTTGTTTTAGCTGCAAATGAATATGAGCCCAGTTAGTATCATAGCACAGGAAGATGCAGCCTTTGGCTCCATGAACAGGCCATTACAGCAATTCATACCGACTATGAGTTCATTTTGTCAGACTGAGATTTTGCTCACAGTATGCAACTCGAGGAGTGCTTCGTGGTTTCTTTGCTGTGTGCTGTAGCCATGGAGACAGTATGTGGCATGTGGGTTTATACTAGAAAGTCTAGTCTCTGTGGAGGAACAGCCTCAGACCATGAAGATGAATAGAGGAAGGGATGCATCCGTTTAGTTAGTCTGAGCATCTTGTCCTGTCCTCGAATTCTGAAACAACAAATCTGCAGTGTTTCTCTAAATCTTTGACCCAAGACCAGAGCGATCAAGCACTTAGATGGAGGAGAAGCATTAATATTTCTACAGGGACTTAAAGTGTCACTGTGGTGGTCAATAGCAATGTAATGGTGACCTTACTGAAGACCTACATAATTAATTCTGATATTTTATTCATCTCTTGTGACATTTAAATACTGTAGTATACCATAGTAGCTGAGCAGTGCTATTTTTCAGTACCCTTGAAAAGCCATTCATATCTCCTTCAACAACATTATTTGATACAACTTGGTGGGGAGCTGATAGCTATTGTTCGTATCTATGAATGTATTAAAGTGGTGAACCACTCACTGAATGTTCAACCTTTACATCCTGCACCTCATCAGCTCTGTTTTTTTAATACTGTATAATACAATGAGGTCTAGTCTAGGCCCTTGTTATCTTGCTGATACCTCACCTCATTCATTTAAACCTAGAGGGATAAGAAGGCTGAAAGTAAGATGGCTTTAAGTAGCCTATAGCTTTTTTCCTATTTAGTGGCATAAAGTTTAAACATGATTTCCACGTTCATCACGAATAGGATATTAATGATGCATTGCTTTCTGCTGTGTTGGCACAAATGAAACCGAATTAGTTCCAGATTGTATTCGTGTTATAATGACATCCAGATATAATTTAGACAGTGACCATAGTCTCAGTAGTGATAGAACAGCTGATAATTGTATAGTATGTAACCTGTAAGGGTTAGTGTTTTCACAGGCTTTCAGACACCTAGGAGAATTTGCTATTGTACTACAAAATTTCCTTCCTACAATGTTATGCAGTTGTTAAATATAACATGCCAAACGGATACCTAGAATATCTGAATTACTTGTTCAGCTGAACCACTCGCAATGTAAGATGAATACAGTAGTATTTACTATACAGAAGTTAATGTCATGATATATGCAAGGAAAAGCTGAGTGTACAACTGATTATTCTAAATTCAAGTTATCCTTTGAGACAGTCACTTTTTAAATAGAATAAAAAATGCTTGTACGTAACTATAGCTGTTTGTTTATTTTTATGAAGAGCAGCAAAATACACACACAAGTACACTACAATATGACTTGGAACAATAAATTCTATCAAACCAAGCAAAGCAGTGAATAATAACAGCACAGGTTTGTCTGTCGAGGTTTGGTCGTGTGTGAACAGACGTGATGCCGAGGTGTGTTGTGGAGACATGACAGGGAGATGGCTGGTCAGTCCTCTCTCATCACGATGAACAGATGGTAACTCAGGGTTAGCTCATGGGTGAGTGCCAACAAGAAAGCCCATGTGTGTGACATATAAAAATCCATTGTTGAAATTAGTGTTTTGTCCATGATGTTCTTCACAGAACTAAAAAAAACCTTTGAGATGTTCTTAAGTTTGAGAGCAGTTGTCTGTATATTATTTATTGATAAGATGTGAATAATTCAAAGAGTAGAAAACCAAAATGGTTTGTTGCACTGAATTGGTTGGTGGTTACCTGATTTAATGGTAACCCAATACATGCTGCAGTAATCCAGTATAATTACTCCAAAATGATCTTAGGTGACATTTTCATCAGGAATCTGAAATAGTTGAAAATAGCTTAAATGTTATTGTCTGACATTATATTTAATGATTAATCTTTCAAACAAGTTTATAAGTTAAAAAAAAAGTAAAGACTTCTTCTTAACAGGATTTTGGTGTATAAATGTGTACAATATTTTTTGCATTTTCTATATTAAAAAAACTGTTGAATATTGATGTGACTTGAACAGCTCATGTTAGTATACAGTGTCTCCAGTCTATAAAGCTCATGTCTTGTTACTTTGGTTTGATTACATACACACTGCCACCTCAATTATGCACAGTTAAATCAAGTTTTTAAAATAATGACTGGTTGTCAAGTTGCTCAAATACAACACTGTGTTGCGACTGTTGGTTTAACATCTTCTATTAACCTGGTTAGTAAATGAGCAACTACATCTGTTAAATTTATACCCATTCATCTTGACAGGAATCAGACCGAAACGGATGTGTGTAGATTTGCTCAGCTGACTGTAAATTAAATGTACTAAAATGATTTCAACATATGATCAGAAATTTGTTTCACAGACTAAGCAAATATTAACCGTGGCCATTCAGTTGTATTTGTTTTATGTCTTTCCACAGGCTGTGTTGATCTTGAATCACACTGAATGGAGAGCACTGAAGTTCCTTTAAGATGACACGGACGCACCCCCCTGATATACTGGCATCGACTCTGTATCGGGACATTACTCTAAATCCTATCACTGACCATTCAATTTCTCTCCACTCCTCCCAGCAATGTGACTTGAAAATGATTGATAAACCAGAAATCATCAACAAAAGACACTGCCGTAGCTTTGACTTCATTGAGTCACTGGATGACCCGCAGTCTTTCTCTTCCTCAATGGAGTACCCTTACAAGAGGGCTGAGCATGAGACATTGAACAAAGATCTAATGTGGAATGGACTAGATCAACAGGGTCATCTTCGCTTTTCATCTCCTGATCTGTTTAACACCAGGCAGTTCCAGCAGCACACCAGCCAAGACAAAACCAGCCATCTTACATGGTCGGATTCTAAAAAGAGAACAAGATCTAAAAGTGCTCCAAGAATTAAGGCCACTCTCACTCCTGTGCCCATCTCAGTGTCTCCACCAGGAGCCAGGAAGGGGAGGGATGCACTTCAGGCTGCATCAGATACCCTGAGGACTTCTGAAACACATCGAGAATCCTACTCCTCAAACAGGGCTTTTTTGAATGAGGTGCATCCTATCAAACTGCAGCCTCACTCTCCCCTCTATGTCTCAGACTGTTTTGAGGAGCATAAACCTGATAAACCAGCCATAACCCCTCATGTCAGGTGCCGTGTAGACATTAAACCAGATGCTGCTGTACTGCAGCACACATCTAGGCAGGTTCCCAATGTACGGACTGAGCATCTTTGGCAGAGATACTCCCAAGCCAGTAGCAGTAGAGGCTTGTATGTACCACGGCAGATTGTCTCCTCGCCAACGCCCACTCCAAGCGAATGCTACAGTGGAGATTTTAGACAAGGATACCACTACACCACCAGCATGTCTCCCATCTCTTACCAGCATCTAGACATGCACAGAATGCCATCACCAACAGCACCATATCTGAGTCAAGAACAAAGAGCTTACTCAAATCCTAACATACCAACCAAGTTTTTCTATACAGAGGACCCTGTTCGGTATCCAGTCCATCCTTATTCTAGAACATACTATCAGGATGATCGGTCCAGTTTAACCAGCCACGGTAGTACATTGACTAGTCAATATGATCCAAGGACTCGATGGGTGCACACCCTTCCTGTCAGGTCGTATTACACGGACCACCTGTCCAACCGAGAGCCAGCACACTCTGTATATAGTAGGCCTTACTCCACAAGCGAGGCAGGATCATACTTTTCTCAGACTCCATTGTCTAGATCTTACTATGGAGAGGACAGCCGCTTCAATCCGTACCACATGAGTAACTCAAGGTTGTTTTATCCCAAACCGTTCAGCTCTCCTGAAGAGCAGTACTTTCCATCAAGGCCATATCATACAGAGGGTCGTCGACGCCCTCGAATGTCCCAGGCCTTTTCAGATGACTGGTATCGCTCAAGTATATCTGGTTACTCTAACCAGTCCTCTCAACACACACCACCAAGAGTAAGGCAAGACCCCAGTATACCCCCGTGGTTTACTAGCAGCTGTGTGGAGACAAGTAGACTAGGAGCAGAGGTTAAAAACCACTCCAAGTCTTGGGACAATATTCTATATCCACGTCATGACAGAGAGCAAGCAGTGCCTCGTGGACGAAGCTATGAAAACCTGTTTTACCAAGCAAGGCAGGGAGCATCCTCTGATATTACATCTCAACCTGTTATTCTTAACCTCTCAAGCTCGCCAAGGCGCTATGCTGCACTGTCACTCTCCGAAAACTCATTAGAGAGGGGCTCGAGCAATCCGTGGAGGAATACCAAGAGTGGGCACTGGTTTGTAACACCTGAGATCACTATAACAGACAATGATATATGTGCAGCCAACAGCAAGCGGCGCAATGTGCACTCTGTCAGCTGGGATACACTGGACGGTGAAAAGACACCATCTCCGAGAGTAATGCATCAGAAGCAGCCATCCACCACAGCAGAAATAACCAAAGACAGGAAACACAACAACTTCTCCCTCCAGCAGAGTCTAGAGCAACTGGATGAACTCTTAGCCGATTTGGTTGTGGATTACAAACCACCAACTAGCAGAAAGTCAAGTGAAGACCTTTTGGACCAGCTGAAACAACTAATTACTGAAGACGATGACAAAGACAGAGGATCTGCTGGACTTGAAAACTTAGGATGTCTGAACACACAGCTCCTATCCTCTAAATCCAGCCCTGACACAATCAAAGACCCTGATAGTGGTTGTGATGCTTTACAAAGGAGTGCAGAAGAATGTTCTCCAGACCACAGCACAGATGAAGATGACACTATGGTGTGTGCTAACAAGAAGTGCAAACGGATTGAGAGTATGTTCAACGCCTGCTTGTACTTCAAATCATGTCATAGTTGCTACACCTTTTACTGCTCACGTAACTGCCGCAGGGATGATTGGGAGACCCATAAAGAGACATGTCTGTACGGTCGTGTCAGCAGTGTGTGTCGACACACTCTTAAGTTCTGCAGAGAGAATTCAGAGATCCACAAAGCCTTCTCTCGTGTTGCGAAAGCTGGCTACCTCTCCAGAGGGAGAGGAGTTCTCTTTCTGGGTTTTGCTAATCCAGAGACAGCTGACAACTTCCTGCAAGTTGGGCTTGAGAGCCTCCTCATGTCTCCCACATACTTATCTCTCAGAGAGCTGGATGGTTTCAAGGACAACCTAGGTGAATACTGCAAGGAACTGCAGCAGGCAGGTAATGAGTATGACCCAAATGAATGTTTCCTTCTGAATGTATCCATAGCTGTTGGTGAACTAGTGCCTAATAGACCTTCACCAAGGGTCCAAGCACCGACAGTTCGAAAATATGCAAAGGTGTCCTTGGCCTCCTCGAGCCCTGACAAAAAGGTACTCAAGAAGGATAGTGAAATGGAAACGCTCATCCTCACTCCACCTCCAGGCACACCAGACATTGACAAGGAGGGGGAGGAGGGAAGAAAAGCCAGAGAGGTGTGCTTTGTCAATATCCAGCGTGAGCTCAGGACCAGGGGAGTCTTCCTTCGTCATGAGTATCCCAAAATTTATAATCAGCTGTGTGAGTTTGTGGAGACCAACAAAAGGTTCACTCCTACTACGATTTACCCAATAGATAAGAGAACAGGGAAACAGTTTATGTGCATGATCATGGCTGCATCTGAGCCAAGAACACTGGACTGGGTGGGTACTCCTCATCTTTTGGATGATATTATATAGTATAGCACTAAATAGTAATGATAATGATGTCAGTACACTATGTACATACTGTAAATACATGGTGTGATTTAGCAAATTGAACACTGATATGGAAATTTGTGTGTACATATGTGAACAGTCTCCCTTTCTGTCTTTCTCTTATTTCTCTTTGTTATCACACACACACACACACACACACACACACACACACACACACACACACACACAGTATACAAACACACCTCTAAAAGTTGCCCTATGATGTTTTTGGCTTGTTTTGATCCTGTTGCACTCAGAAGAGTTAATAGCCTGCATGTAGACTAGGTACAAACCCAGTTATCCAGGTGTTTAAGATGTGAACATGTATGATCTGTGCAGTTTCTGCAGCCAATGTATGAAGCACACAATATTTATGAAGTACACATCTCATTGCCTCCACATTATAGTAGGCACAGCCAGGTCTCGTATTGTAACAGTCACCCACTTTTGATTTTTCCAACTAATGTTATATCAGAAATTTATATTATACCTTGTTACAGTGGTTGTAATATTACAACTGTTTATTAGTACTTAAGTATTATTTCCTAAGTATAGTGTAGTTGTGTGGGTATTTTATTTTTATTATTGCTAAATTAGTTATCGTTTGATAGACAAAGAAGTACAATCAAACCACATATTTGTTTTCCCACTTCATTAAGAATTTTTGTTGGAACTTATTCCATCTCGTGATAAGACTTGATGTCATCCTCGTATAAATTGCTTTGTTTGAAAGTGGCCTTCAGTCGAAAGAAAAAAAACTGCATTTGACACAAAGCAATGTATAGGTTTAGCTATTTCTAAAGGCTTGACAGCTCTTGACTTAGGCTGTTTGAACTACCATTGTAAATGAACAATTATTTTGCTCAAAGCATGTTATTTATATTCAGGTATTTTAATATTGATATTGCTTATAATTAAATTTATTATGTTAATGAGATACAATTTGATGCATAGAAATGTAAGAGGTATATTATATATATTGAATATTAGATCATTTGAACATTGCGACCTTGAGACCTTATTGTAACTAATACCACAGTTTGTTCTTAAACAATATGCAATAAAAGAGCAACCTTAACATCTATATTGTAAAACCCTATTTTATTATTAATATTGAATTCCTTGGAGCCAAGAGCTGCAAAGACTTTGTTTGCACTAAAACATAAATTATAAAATAAGAATGTTCCTAACATAGTTGCAGCACTCAACCCTGATATGATGATATGCCTGCTTCCATTGCCATTGCTGATTAATCTAAGGTTGCTCTTTTACTTGATTATATATATCTTTGTGCAAGACCTTCCTCGACTTTCTATTTTGTGATGTTTATAACCTATATATAAATATATAATAAATGGAATTTAACGAGTGACCTTGTGGCTTTGCATTTCTCATCCAGAGTTCTCCTTATTAGGCATTTGAACAGAAGGGTAAAATGATACAGTTTCCACACTGTGTTTTGTGAAACACATGCAGGAATGTTCAAACAGAAAAACAATAATCAACCCTGTCACTTAAAAAGTAGAGAGAGACTATGTACATTACAAAAGAAACCAGAATCACTATTTATTTAGTTTTGCATTAAGTACAAAACGTGTATCAAAACACAAAATGCCAGTAGGTGGAAATCTTTCAAATTGTATTGATCAAGTGCCCTCATTTAAATGATTTTAATACTCTGATCTACTGATTTCAAGATTTTGACTGTGTCAGCATTAATGCAAGAATGTATGACATGGACATGTTTATGATGCCTGTTTACAGTCATCATCTCAAATATACAAGTTTAAGATCAGGATATAGGGGATGAGGTATGGAGCACAATGTTATAGTTAAAGCTTTAAGGTAGATGTGGCAATTAACCTTTCAACCAACATGTAAATTTCCATGGGTAAATCTGCTCTGATGAAGACATATATGCTGATTGTCAAAATATTAGTTGCTGCTTAATTAAAGCTTGAACTATAACCGTGTGCTCCAAATCCTCATCCCTCATCCTTTTTATTCTATGAATGTGCTATAATATATTTGATTAACACTACTGTGTTGCTGACACAAGGATTAGGGTTTTCATTCTTTTATGTTATAAGACCACCACCTAGTGGAATAAATGTATTACTACCACTGAAAAAAAGTTCAGCTTTTTGTTTTGCCTGTGTTATTGTATGACTATGTTTTATTACAGTGCCCTGAGCAGGGTTCCCACTCTTTTCTAGAGATCATTTTCCAGGACTTTTCCAGGACATTTTCATGATGATCAAGCTCATATGACAGACAGGAATCACGCCATACACCAATATGTTCCTATATGAGGAAGTCTGATGTAAAACGTGTGAAGTCTATACTTGGCTATATTTATCTCTTAAATCATCTCTTACATGCTTAATTAATTATGAAATTATGACAAATTGATTGCAAGAACTTCAAGTGCTATGTAAATAAAAAATATCATTATCATCATTATTAATTAATGACCTGACACTTTTTTCTTATGAATTATATTAAACATTGCTGCCTGAACACTGATAACTAAATAGTAGCCTACAATTTTCCCTACTGACATATCTATACTGAACTTTACAGCTAAATGTACGATTTCAAAGTTGAATTTGCTAAGATTATTTACTGCTGCTGGGTCTCATCAGTTTATCACACTTAAGGGCCTTTACTACTAATAGGAATTCAAGTTTTTAACGAGGTTAATCACAGCCACTGTGAGCCACCGCTACAAAAGTTGAACATTTCACGTCATATTAAGGTCTGTTTTTACTGAGCAACACAGCATTGGGTTTGAAGTGATGCCACCAAAGATGCTAGCAAAGTCAAAAGTGCCGTTAGTGAGTATTTGGCCTGTATTTGACTAACATACGGTTAGGCTACCATTCACTGTGTTCCTTGGTTTGCTTGCTTGTTTGGATTAATAAATCCCCAAGAAAACGCAATGGCTTTGTTTGGATAATCGATTCTTTTGCCTGTGTAAACCTGTGGTGCATCAGTGGCCTTTTGATTTTATGATGATTTTTATGTTGAAGTTTGTTTGAGGACAAATAGCCACTAGAATGTATTTTCCATGACTGGAAGACTATGTAACCACAATGTGGAATATGAATGACTTACTACAAAAATGCTGTAGATCTAGATGCTAAGAGAGTTCCCCTCAGGTCAGTGAAAAAGTTTGTTCCAATCCAATTATGAACAAGCCTATATCTTTTAATTAACTGTAAATGTATAAATCATTATGACTGATGTCAGACTGTTGTATTCAAAGGTGTAAGTAATGTTTTGCATTTGCTGAAACTTTGAACTGCTTGAATATATTCCTGTAATGATCTCATTTTGGCACTCTATAGCAGCTGAATCCAGCAGAGTTTCAGTGTTTGGCCATACAGTGAAATCAAGTCAAGCCAATTGTTTTCATGAGGAACATATTGTGATGTCCTAGCACTGTACAATTTCATTACACGAAAGCAAAAACCTAGGAGACAGTAAAACATTAAAATGATCATGAATCACCACACACACACACAACACCACAACACACACACACACACACACACACACACACACACACACACACACACACACACACACACACACATACACACACACACAAATGAGCTACTGTCTTTTCAGTGTTTCACCATGGTATACGCCCCTGCTCTGCTTAGTCTCAGAAGCATTTATTTGATTGTTTTGTCAGCTCTGAGTGGTTGGCAGCATCATGTCTCAGTTCTCAATATCATAGTCATACAAAAAAGCACAGTTTGGCCAATATATTCATGCTTATTCAGGTGATATTAATACATCAAGGTTTGTTTTTACAAATCAAATAAAGTAAAACAATAATCCAGTGGTGCAAAATTATTGTGTCACACAGGATCCAGACAGATTCACACTCAGATATATCAGAAATCTCACTAAGTATAGATTGATATTTCAGAAGGAATATGAGGAAGGACATACTGCTTTATAACGACCAAACATTTGTTATTTCACCTAGTGTGTACAGCAATTTTCTGTACACATACAAAAGTTAGCATAAGGACTTGAACTGATTAGATCAATAGTCAACTTGTAGTTTTCCATTTAAAGATGTCGGTTTTGTAAGAAATTGTAACAAACTCTATTATATTGCAGAAATAGCATGATGTGTAGGCCTGTTTTCTGTTTTACTTTGAAATTTCCCTTTAACAAACCTCTCCGCATGCGCGTTGGGCTCGTCTCCTCGTGATGACAGCAAATGACAGTAGTGTTCGCTTCTGCAGAACCCAGTGTGTGAGACGGCTAACCGCCAACAAACAATTCCTTTGACTCGAGAAATCTTTGGATCAGCTGTGTTTAGAGAAACTGTGGACAACCAGGACACGCTAATTACGTTCGGTAAGTTGCCGAATTTACGTTGGATGGTTTTCTGAATCATATTTGGCCATCCAGGAGCTTGCAGTATAAAGCTAAGCTAACGTAGCTAACTAGCTTATCATTAGCTTACCCTGCTTGGCGAGCAAACGTTAGCCAAGTGTAACTTGGTTAACGTTAGCACTCTACTGCTAGGTTAGCCCAGTTCACCAGTTTGCTGTCTGAGCTCAAATCACTGCAAACACAAGACCTTATTGGCTATTACTAATGTAACATCTGTGTGTCTTGTGTCAGTTTTCCTTAATAGCCATTAGCTGACCCAGCGTTAGCTAACTGGTGTATTTGATATGATTCTCAGCTCGTCAAAGCCACCTCAGTCGAACAACCAAGCGGTGACAGACATTAACTTAACCTCTCTCATCTCAGTTTGTCGGATGCCTAGCTAAATCTCTGTTGGCCACTACACCATCTTAACCAAACTAAACGTTAGCAGCACATTAAACTGCTTCAGCTTTCTGTGTTCAATGTATCCCCACCCCACCCCTTGAGCAGTGAAAGGAATGTCTAAAGTTTTAGCCTAATAACATAGCCTAAGTATTCAGACCTAGTGTTAATATCGTAAACATTTAAACACTGGATACTACTGTTATCTCTTTGTAACAGAAGTAATTATCTCCCCCATTATGTCCAACATTTCTGTAGTAATCCGTTGTTGGCAAAAATGTCAATTGTAAAATGTGAGGCTTTGCTGCTTTTCTCTGTTTAATGTCACCATAAATTGAAGTCAAAC